AATCCTTCATGTTTTTGCATTTCAAAATCGTGAGGGTGGCCAGGTGGGGTGAGGGTTCAACTCGTTGTCCAGATACTGATTTGCTCACAAAAGTGCTCGATTTTAAAATGTGTTGGATCCAGATCAAAGAGGAAATAAAGCCAGTGTCAAGAACACACGGGGGTCAATTATGAGATATCTTTGCACTACCCATAAAATATGGTTGCATTGTAACCTTGGTTCTCTGAATGAAGCGACTACCTCTCCACCCAGTAACATATTTCATATGTATGGGGACTGAGCCGCCTGCTCGTCAGGGTACGTGGATACTTCTTTAAGACACACCGGCTTGCCCGGTCACACCATACAGGTTACCTATAAAGCACATGTACTAGAGCAAATTCAGTGCTAGTTTTAATCGAAACGTGTCTCCAAGCAGCCGAAAGAGCTGGAGAGATAGTCTCAGATTTATTGCCAGGTATAGTTCCCACAGTACGAGGAATTTGTTCTGGTGGGTTGGTGCAACAAAACAACAATAAATATAGAGTAAACAATAAACATACAGTAAAATAAAATAACTAAAACTAAAAATAACTGTAGTAGTGCAAGAATCAAAGTTAAACTTATATAAGAACAATAGAACGGTAGTCTTATTTACAGGAATATTGAAGGTGCTGATATATTGATATTTACATTTATACAGACATGGAAGGGGCAGGGGGGGTCAGTGGGGGTCGTGTGCCTTGTTCATGAGGCCGGTGGCAGACGGAAAGAAACTGTTTTTGTATCAAGGGAGTGTTTGAAAGAGTTTGTGACTAGGGTGGGAGGGGTCAGCCACAATCTTACCTGCACACCTCAGAGTCCTGGAGGCATGCAGGTCCTGGAGAGAAGGCAGATTGCAGCCAATTACCTTCTCAGCCGAGCGGATGATACGCTGCAGCCTGGCCTTGTCCTTAGCCGTTGCTGCAGCGTGCCAAATGGTGATGGAGGAGGTGATGATGGACTCAATTACGGAGGTGTAAAGGTGCACCATCATCTTCGTTGGCAGCCTGAACTTCTTCAGCTGCTGCAGGAAGTACATCCTCTGTTGGGCTTTCCTAATGAGAGAGCTGGTGTTCAGCTCCCACTTGAGGTCCTGGGTGATGATTGTGCCCAGGAAGCAGAAAGGCTCCACAGGGTCCACTGGGCAGTCGCTCAGGGTGATGGGGGTGAGTGAGGCTGTGTTCCTTCTAAAGTCCATAATCATCTCCACTGTATTGAGAGCGTTGAGCTCTAGGTTGTTCAGCCTGCACCAGGACACCAGCCGCTCTGTCTCCCTCCTGTAGGCAGACTCATCTCCATCAGATATGGGCCCAGTGAGGGTCGTATCATCCGCGAACTTCAGGAGTTTGACAGACTGGTGGCTTGAGGTGCAGCTGTTTGTATACAGCAAGAAGAGCAGAGGGGAGAGAAAACAGTCCTGAGGGGATTTAGTGCTGATGGTCCGGGAGTCCGAGATGTGTTTTCCCAGCTTCATGTGGTGCTTCCTGTCAGACAGGAAGTCAGTGATCCACCTGCAAGTGGAGTCTGGCACGTTCAACTGGGAGAGCTTGTCCTGCAGGAGAGCCGGGATGATGGTATTGAATGCAGAGTTAAAATTCACAAACAGAATCCTGGCGTAGGATCCTGGGGAGTCCAGGTGCTGCAGGATGAAGTGCAGGACCGGGTCATATACAGACCTGTTGGCTCTGTAGGCGAACTGCAGGGGGTCCAGGTGTGGGTCTGCAGTAGTGCTCATTCAGGGAGGAGCTGTCCTCACAAAGTGCACATTCACCAACCTGAACAGCTTTGATTGCTGCCACCGTACCTCACAAGGTAATGAGAGCCCTTCCTGCCTTAAGCTGGGACTGCAAAAATAGCAGGACTTCCTGAGCTGTAGCTAAATGAGGGTCCACTTTGTGTGCTCCACACCGAACAGTGAAAACCCCCCCAGCGGTATGAATAGGCAGCCTAGGTGGATAGTGCCTGGGTTTCCTGCATAGTCTGTACTACAGGCTCTGGCAAGCCTAAGGCAAGGAGCCTGTCCCTCTCAGGGGCCAGACTACCAATCTGAGTCCTGGGGGGAAGGAGTGGAACAGGGTCCCACTGGCCTGAGACAGCAGGTGGCAAAATGGCTCCAGTTTTAGCCAGTCTGGTCTGTGTAGCCATAGCAGGCCATCCATAATCTTACAGTTCTTGCTAGGGCAGGTGGTCCTATCTAAAATAGAGCTGGAGGGAGAAAAAATTGGCGTGAAAGCTGGATCCACAGGAAGAAGCGGCCCACAAGCAAGTTGCTTGCTGTCTTGCATGTTGGACAGTATGCCACCTGATGCAGACAACCTGTGTGTGGCTGGTGCACTGAGTTGTTTTGTGCACCAGGTCCTTAAAATCAGGCAGAAGGGCCACTTGTGCCGGTGTGGTGGGCGCTTCCCCATCCTCATCAAACCGAGAGAAGGGCGCCCCGAGGTCCTTGGAGAGGGCAATACCCAGAGTCCTGGTTGCCCTGCCAAGAACCTGATTAAAGCGGTAGGCTTCTTCACCTTTAGGGTGGTGCCTGCCACTTTCTGTCCACAGGAGAGGTCACATTCTTCAGAGGAGAAGACAGTCTCCACATCCATGTCCTCCCCTTCCACCACCTCCTCCAACCCTGGAGTTGGGGGAGAATGAGGCCCAGCATGAGGATGGACAGCTGTAGGCT